CTGAACTATCATTGACTTGAAACAGCGTCGTTTAAGGGTGCTATTGGTACAGGTCGACCTCCAGGTCCAATCATCGTATACCTGCCAATCACAGTTCCCACCGGTAATGGTTGTCCATCAGCATCAGAGAGTTGTGAATCAAAGATGATTTCCTGCAATCCTGAGGGTCCAGGTACAGCATAATCATTTGGAATCCATTGAACATCATCATCATCATCAAAATCCATTTTTCTTTTCTCTTAACAGTTTGAACTCGGTTCAAATTGATCATAAAATTACCCAATGTAATAACGAAATGTATTCTCAGAATACAAAAGAAGAACACAAAAGTCTTGACTTAAAGTTGTTGTTGGAACTCGGTTCCAAATCTCGACTATAATAAGTCTTACAAAGACAATGTATTCCCAGAATACAAGAGTGTTCCCAGAACACAAGATGATGTGTTTCCGAAACACAATTAAACACCAAAAAAAACTAAAAATTAACACCAAAAAGAAATAAAACCCAAATTAAAAATGAGAAGTGAACTTAAAACAATGGTTTCTCCAAAGAGAATATTCTCCACTTCCATTTCCTTCGCAACGAGGGTAACAACGCAAGGGGTTTCCTTGACACCCTTGACCAATTAATCGATTGTTAATTCAATGTATCAAATTAAGTTAATATTTACAAAAATGAATTGATTGAGTTTTTGACAATTAATTTAAACCCAACAACTCCATAACTTCATCATCATCTTCATGGTTTTTCTCATTCCGGGAATGAGAAACATTTTCTCCATGAAATGGTCTCAATCTAGAGACATGCACAATCTCTTTCTTTATCGGCCCTTTCAGGTTAATCAATTCGTAATTAACCGGGTTAATACGTTTCACAATTCGGTAAGGTCCACGAAATCGATTCATGAACTTCTTATTCTTGCCCTTTACCAATAAAGGTTGTTTTAGCAGCACCAATGAATTCAGAGGAAACTCGGTTTCCTTGTGCGACTTATCATACAACTCTTTAGATTTTCCTTGAGATATGGAAATATTTTCCTGAGCCATTTGCCTTGCTTTAATCAATGCTTCTTCTCGAGTTTCGACTTTATTCCACTCGACAGGCAATCCACTTCTCGATTCCCAAGGAAGCCGGGCTTCCACGCCATGACACAAATAAAACGGCGAAAACTTAGTGACTCTGTGCGGTGTCACATTATATGCAAAAACGACTTCTTGCAAAAACTTATCCCATTCATTAGGATTATTATCACAATAAATACACAAACTGATACCAAGGTAAGAATTGAATCTTTCCGTTTGTCCATCACTTTGAGGATGATACGCAGAGGTCGGCAAATGTTTGATTCCAAAGCTCTTCAAAAAGTTTGTGAATTCTTCAGACATCAAATTTGTCCCTCGATCCGTCAAAAGAGTTCCGGGAACTCCGAATCTTAGAATCCAATCATCATACAATGCACTGATCACTTTTTCACTTTCTGTTGAACTAACTGCAGAAGCTACTGCAAACTTTGTTAGTCTATCGTTGATTACAATGCAATACTTGAATTCATTTTTAGATTTCGGCAGTTCCAAAATATCCAGACTTATATCTGTAAATGCATGTTTAGGAACTTTTATTGGTATCATCAAACCTTGGTTAGTTGTTGGATAAGGCTTTCTCTTCTGGCATTTTCCACAACTACGAATACAATCGCACAGATCTTGAGCCATACCAGGCCAGTATGCTCTACATTTCAATTTTTCGAGACATTTATTCATTCCAAGATGTCCCTCTTCATGAGCATCTTTTACTAAAGAAACTCTCATTTCTTTCGGGATAACAGGAACCAATTCCTTCCCTCTCTTGAAAAACAAAGTTTGCTGTAGGACAACAAACTTTTTATTCAATCTACATTTAGCTCTTTTGCTCAACTCGGTTGAACACAGAAGATCCCGGATCTTCAAGCAATATTCATCTTTCTTTTGAAGATCTTTAAATCTCTCAACTGGTTCAATGTAGCAAATCTTCAATTGATCTTTTCCATTAGAATTCAATCTTCCGGGAAGATTTATTTCTTCTTCTTCATCATTTTCGTTAGCTTTCAAAGGATAACGAGAAATACAATCTGCATCTCCATGCAGTTTTCCACTTTTGTATTTCACTATGAAGTTGAATTCTTGCAATTTAATTGCCCATCTCATTAATCTCGGTGTCAATCTCTTTGACGATGTAAACCAACAAAGTCCACAATGGTCAGTGACAACGACGAAAACTCTCCCAAACAAATAATGGCGAAGCTTTTGTAAGGCCCAAACAATAGCCAAACACTCCTTTTCGGTTACGCCATAATTCTTTTCTGCTGGATTCAGCGTTCGGGAAATATAACAAACAGGCTTCAGCTCTCCATCAGGCTGACTCTGATACATCACGGCACCAATGCCATAATCACATGCATCAGTATGAATTTCAATTTTTCCATCATTCTGGAAACATGCAAGAACAGGTTTGCAAGTGATAATTTTCTTGAGTCTCTCATAGACTTCTCTCTCTTTATCACTCCATACAAATCTTGCGTTCTTTCTTAACATTATCATTAATGGTCTTGCAACTTCACTAAATTTCGGAATGAACCTTCGAAAATAACTGCACAAACCAAGAAATTTCCTTATATCTTTACACGAACAAGGTTCCGGGAACCTGAGAACAGTTTCAATGTTTGCTTGACTCGGGGAAATACCATTTTTCCCAACATGATATCCAAGATAATCTATGCTTTCACAATTGAACGAGCATTTCTCTT